CTCTGAGGAGCACAGGGACTGGACTACTGCTGGGACTCTGAGGAGCACAGGGACTGGTCTCCTGCTGGGACTCTGAGGAGCACAGGGACTGGTCTCCTGCTGAGGAGGCAGTGATTCAGATTCATGCCGGTAAAATCTCAAACAGTCTTTCTGAAAATGTGAGACAGGCTTCTTCTCTGACAATGTTCAAATCCAGGTAAAAACAGTTCTGTTTAGCTTTACATTCAACTGATGGATTTTATCTTCACTATTTTTAATGCACCGTTAAAGTCCTTTATCTGCAGCAGACTCTGGATCTCTGACCTGTGTCGACTTTTCATCAATGTGTCAAAATAAAAGGTTCAAAACAAACTTCTGACTTTCAAACGAGCAGTTTGTAAAAATCTGTCCAAAAGTGGTACTGCAGCCTCTCCCACTCTCCCTGACTCAGGTTGCCAGATATGCAGACGAATCCAGCTGGGACCATAACAGCTGAATAGACAAGAGTTTTGTCAACAACAAATCTATAACCAACACCTTTTTCACAAAGATAGAAATCCTGGTTTTATTCCTTGTTTTGTCGTTAATGATTTGAGAATCATAACGAGACCTTTTTTAGTTCTGCGCCACATGGTACTTTACCAGTGAGATTAGCTCCACATGGTACTTTACCAGTGAGATTAGCTCCACATGGTACTTTACCAGTGAGATTAGCTTGATGCGGTGAGTTCTGGCGCCCGGATCACAGACTTTCTGATTGGTGAAACGGTGGAGGGCGGGACATCGAAATGAAAACAATAACAAGATGTAGGAGCTGGAAAAGTAATTTAGGAATTCAAATATCTCTGTAGTTCTGTGTGTAGTTCTGTGTGCAGTTCTGTGTGTAGTTCTGTGTGTATTTCTGTGTGTAGTTCTGTGTGTAGTTCTGTGTGTAGTTCTGTGTGTATTTCTGTGTGCAGTTCTGTGTGTAGTTCTGTGTGTATTTCTGTGTGTATTTCTGTGTGTAGTTCTGTGTGTAGTTCTGTGTGTATTTCTGTGTGTAGTTCTGTGTGCAGTTCTGTGTGTAGTTCTGTGTGTATTTCTGTGTGTATTTCTGTGTGTTGTTCTGTGTGTAGTTCTGTGTGTAGTTCTGTATGTAGTTCTGTGTGTAGTTATGTGTGTAGTTCTGTGTGTAGTTCTGTGTGTAGTTCTGTGTGTAGTTCTGTGTGAAGTTCTGTGTGTAGTTCTGTGTGTATTTCTGTGTGTATTTCTGTGTGTAGTTCTGTGTGCAGTTCTGTGTGTAGTTCTGTGTGTATTTCTGTGTGTATTTCTGTGAGTAGTTCTGTGTGTAGTTCTGTGTGTAGTTCTGTGTGTATTTCTGTGTGCAGTTCTGTGTGTAGTTCTGTGTGTATTTCTGTGTGTATTTCTGTGTGTAGTTCTGTGTGTAGTTCTGTGTGTAGTTCTGTATGTAGTTCTGTGTGTAGTTATGTGTGTAGTTCTGTGTGTAGTTCTGTGTGTAGTTCTGTGTGTAGTTCTGTGTGCAGTTCTGTGTGTAGTTCTGTGTGTATTTCTGTGTGTATTTCTGTGTGTAGTTCTGTGTGTAGTTCTGTGTGCAGTTCTGTGTGTAGTTCTGTGTGCAGTTCTGTGTGTAGTTCTGTGTGTATTTCTGTGTGTATTTCTGTGTGTTGTTCTGTGTGTAGTTCTGTGTGTAGTTCTGTATGTAGTTCTGTGTGTAGTTATGTGTGTAGTTCTGTGTGTAGTTCTGTGTGTAGTTCTGTGTGTAGTTCTGTGTGCAGTTCTGTGTGTAGTTCTGTGTGTATTTCTGTGTGTATTTCTGTGTGTAGTTCTGTGTGTAGTTCTGTGTGCAGTTCTGTGTGTAGTTCTGTGTGTATTTCTGTGTGTATTTCTGTGAGTAGTTCTGTGTGTAGTTCTGTGTGTAGTTCTGTGTGTATTTCTGTGTGTGCAGTTCTGTGTGTAGTTCTGTGTGTATTCTGTGTGTGTGTGTTTCTGTGTGTAGTTTGTGTGTAGTTCTGTGTAGTTCTGTGTGTAGTTTGTGTGTAGTCTGTGTGTAGTTCTGTGTGTAGTTCTGTGTGTAGTTCTGTGTGAGTTTGTGTGTAGTTCTGTGTGTATTTCTGTGTGTAGTTCTGTGTGTAGTTCTGTGTGTAGTTCTGTGTGTAGTTCTGTGTGTAGTTCTGTGTGTATTTCTGTGTGTATTTCTGTGTGTAGTTCTGTGTGTAGTTCTGTGTGTAGTTCTGTGTGTAGTTCTGTGTGTAGTTCTGTGTGTAGTTCTGTGTGTAGTTCTGTGTGTAGTTCTGTATGTAGTTCTGTGTGTAGTTATGTGTGTAGTTCTGTGTGTAGTTATGTGTGTAGTTCTGTGTGTAGTTCTGTGTGTAGTTCTGTGTGTAGTTCTGTGTGTATTTCTGTGTGTAGTTCTGTGTGTAGTTCTGTGTGTAGTTCTGTGTGTAGTTCTGTGTGTAGTTATGTCTGTAGTTCTGTGTGTAGTTCTGTGTGTATTTCTGTGTGTAGTTCTGTGTGTTGTTCTGTGTGTAGTTCTGTGTGTATTTCTGTGTGTATTTCTGTGTGTAGTTCTGTGTGTAGTTCTGTGTGTAGTTATGTGTGTAGTTATGTGTGTATTTCTGTGTGTATTTCTGTGTGTAGTTCTGTGTGTATTTCTGTGTGTAGTTCTGTGTGTAGTCCTGTGTGTAGTTCTGTGTGTAGTTCTGTGTGTATTTCTGTGTGTAGTTCTGTGTGTTGTTCTGTGTGTAGTTCTGTGTGTATTTCTGTGTGTATTTCTGTGTGTAGTTCTGTGTGTAGTTCTGTGTGTAGTTATGTGTGTAGTTATGTGTGTATTTCTGTGTGTATTTCTGTGTGTAGTTCTGTGTGTATTTCTGTGTGTAGTTCTGTGTGTAGTCCTGTGTGTAGTTCTGTGTGTAGTTCTGTGTGTATTTCTGTGTGTATTTCTGTGTGTAGTTCTGTGTGTAGTTCTGTGTGTAGTTCTGTGTGTAGTTCTGTGTGTAGTTCTGTGTGTAGTTCTGTGTGTAGTTATGTGTGTAGTTCTGTGTGTAGTTCTGTGTGTAGTTCTGTGTGTAGTTCTGTGTGTAGTTCTGTGTGTAGTTCTGTGTGTAGTTCTGTGTGCAGTTCTGTGTGTAGTTCTGTGTGTAGTTCTGTGTGTAGTTATGTGTGTAGTTATGTGTGTGTAGTTCTGTGTGTAGTTCTGTGTGTAGTTCTGTGTGTAGTTATGTGTGTAGTTCTGTGTGTAGTTATGTGTGTAGTTATGTGTGTGTAGTTCTGTGTGTAGTTCTGTGTGTAGTTCTGTGTGTAGTTATGTGTGTAGTTCTGTGTGTAGTTCTGTGTGTAGTTCTGTGTGTAGTTCTGTGTGTAGTTCTGTGTGTAGTTCTGTGTGTAGTTCTGTGTGTAGTTCTGCGTGGAGTTATGCGTGTAATTCTGTGTGTAGTTATGTGTGTAGTTCTGTGTGTATTTCTGTGTGTAGTTCTGTGTGTAGTTCTGTGTGTAGTTCTGTGTGCAGTTCTGTGTCTAGTTCTGTGTGTAGTTATGTGTGTAGTTCTGTGTGTAGTTCTGTGTGTAGTTCTGTGTGTAGTTCTGCGTGTAGTTCTGTGTGTAGTTCTGTGTGTAGTTCTGTGTGTAGTTATGTGTGTAGTTATGTGTGTAGTTCTGTGTGTAGAGAATCCATAAACCCGTCTGTTGTGTTTGTGAGAGAATGAGACAGAATCAGAATGTGATTTAGTTTGAGACACAGTTTGTGGTCTGTCAGCGCTGCACTTGTTGTTGTCCCGTACATGGTTACACACACAGACACACACACACACACACATACAGACACACACACACAACGGGATCACTTTACAGTCACAACAACAACACACAACAACAGGCGTTACACAACAAATCAGACTGGGCCAAACTACACTCAATGTCCTCTGCCCCCAGACCTCACAGACCTCACAGACCTCACAGATCTCACAGACCTCACAGACCTCAGAGACCTCAGAGACCTCACAGACCTCACAGATCTCTCAGACCTCTCAGACCTCACAGATCTCTCTCAGAGACCTCACAGACCTCACAGACCTCACAGACCTCACAGACCTCACAGACCTCTCAGACCTCACAGATCTCTCAGACCTCTCAGACCTCACAGATCTCTCAGAGACCTCACAGATCTCTCAGAGACCTCACAGACCTCACAGACCTCACAGACCTCTCAGACCTCTCAGACCTCACAGATCTCTCAGAGACCTCACAGACCTCACAGACCTC